TTTTAGGGTTTTCACCATTTGAAACCCGATTTGCGATTTTCTTTCATTTTGCGATCTAAATCTCCTAGATCTGTTTGATTTTCGCTTGATTCTGCATGGCGACCACTCTGAATCCCAACGATGATTCGTCCAGTCCGTTCTACCTCCACGCAAGTGACAATCCAGGAGCCCTCATCATCGCCGAACTCCTCAGCGAAGAGAACTAGGTCAGTTGGTCCCGCGCTGTTGTCATGTCTCTGAGCGTGATAAACAAAGGCGGATTTATCGACGGTACTCTGTTATCTCCTTCCCTTACTATTGACCCATCTATGTATGTCTCCTGGGTTAGGGCAAACAATTTGGTTTTGTCTTGGTTGATGAATTCCATTTCTAAGGATATTAGACCATCATTATTGTTTTTTTAATTCTACTAAAGATGTTTGGGATGAGTTGAAAAACAAATATGTTGTGAGTAGTGGACCACGAGTGTTTCAGTTAGAAAAATCTCTAAACACTATGAATCAGGGTTCACAATCTTTTACTCACTATTATAATGCTTTCAAAAGTCTGTGGGATGAGTATATAACTTTCAGACCTATTATTCGATGTCATTGTGGGGCTTACTCTTCATGTACTTGTAATATTTTTGAACTCATGGCTGAATCTCAGCAACATGATTGTGTGATGAAGTTTTTGATTGGGCTGAATGACTGATTTGCTTCCTTCAGAAGCCATTTCTTGTTAACCTCTCCCTTACCTACACTATCAAAAATATACTCCCTACTACTCCAAGAGGAATCCCAGAGATCTCTGAATAACTCCATGTTACCTACTGATCCCATGGCAATGTTAGCCAAATCTGCTCATAACCAATATACCACTAAATCTCCTTACTCCAAAGACAAAAAGCCAAGACCAAAATGCTCTCACTGTGGCTATCCACATCCCTCTGACAAATGCTACCAAGTCTATGGCTATCCACCTAATTGGGTTGGCCCAAAAGGACCCAAAATTCACCCCAAACATTCAGCTAACCTTTCCCATTCCACAACCACCACTGAAACAAATGAAAATACTGTGGATCCATCTTCCATGACTAATGCTCTCTTTCTTGAGTTTTTAGCTTTCAAAAAGAATCAAGATGCGAAGTCTGTCACAGAACCTAATCAAAATGCAAATCCAATGGTGGCCACTGCTATTCAAAATGCTTCAGGTAACTCTGATCACTATTCTTGTGTTGTGTCTAGAAATCTTTCTAGAAATACTTAGATCCTGGATACAGGAGCTACAGATCATATGGTTTGTGATGCTAGTTTCTTTACATCTTTGAAACCTGATGATGATGTCAAGATAAATTTACCCAATGGAAATACCACTAATGCATGTGCAATAGGACAAATAAATCTATCATCTCATCTTGTCTTGCATAATGCTCTATATGTTTCAAACTTCTCCTTTAACTTGATATTTGTGTCTAAACTAGTATCCACAACCAATTGTATGATTCAATTCCTGTCATCACACTGCATTTTACAGGATTTGACAACACTCAAAATGATTGGTTCTGTTGACCTCACAGATGGACTTTATCATCTTACCTTTCTTGATTCTAACCATACATCTTGTATATCTGTCAATTCTACTTCATGCAATTTACCTGTAAACTTTCACTTACATGTAAAGCATGACTCTATGAACAACGACTCTACTTCTTGCAACTTATCTATAAAGCCTGATTCTATGAACAATGTCATATGGTACCATATATTGGGCCATCTATCTTACTCAAGGATGATGCAATTACTTGTATGTACGTCTTCTTTCAAATCCTTACTTTTATTACCCTGTGATGTCTGTCATTTTGCTAAACAAAAGGGACTCCCATTCAACATCAGTGACTCAAAATCATCTGTCATATTTGAACTTATACACTGTGATGTTTGGGGTCCCTTTTCTACTGTTTCTCATGAAGGTTATAAATATTTTTTAACAATAGTGGATGATTTCAGTAGAACCACTTGGATTTACCCTCTTAAAAACAAATCAGACACCAGAGTCAGTCTAATACATTTTTCAAATATGGTTAAGGCTCAGTTTCACAAACAGATTCAAATCATTACATCTGACAATGGTTCTGAATTTTTACTAAAAGATTTTTATCATGATCATAGAATTCTACATCAAACCAGTTGTGTTGAAACTCCCCAACAAAATGGTATAGTAGAAAGAAAGCATCAACATCTTTTTCAAGTGGCAAGAGCTATTTTATTCCATGCACACTTACCATTGATTTTTTGGATATATTGCATATCAGCTGCTGCACACTTTATTAACAGGGTTCCTTCTCCTGTTTTTCAAGACAATTCACCTTTTGAAATCTTATATCAAAAACCTCCTACATATGATCATCTTAAAGTGATAGACAGCCTCTGTTATGCATCTACCCTAACTGCACATAGAAATAAATTTGATTCAAGGGCCCAGAAATGAATAATTTTTAGATATCCCAGTGGTTGTAAAGGGTATAAACTTTACAACCTTGATACCAAGAAAATAGTGATTTCCAGAAATGTGCAATTTTATGAGACTGTTTTTCCTTTCAAAAGCAATATTTCTTCTTCTACATCTGACAATCTATTTCCTGAACATCCACCATTTCTTTTTGAACAAACAAATCAAACAGATACTTCACATAACCCCCATCTCCTACACATATTAATCGAAGACATCAGTCTCCATCTTCTGCACAAAATCACCCTACATCATCTTCTCACAGTTCTCCTCCACACTCTTTACCTTCTCAAATATCTCCCACTCAATCATCACCACATACTTCACCTAACCTCAACAATCCAAGTTCACCTATTCTTAGAAGATCCACCAGACACTCTAAGCCACCAGCTTACCTTGATATATATCAACACTCCTTACCTTTATCAAGATCAAACTCCACAGTCTCATCTCCCTGCACTTCTGAAACATCCCTGTATCCTATATCTTTCTTTTTGTCTACTGCATCTTTATCTGCTATGCATTCATGTTTCACTGCATCCATATCCTTGCTTAATGAACCCAAGAGTTACACTGAAGCATTCAAAGATCCTCAATGGCAGCAAGCCATGAGAAAAGAATTGGATGCTTTACAGAAAACTAACACTTGGGTACTAACAACTCTTCCTAAAGACAAACATTGCATAGGATGCAAATGGGTTTTTAAAATTAAATAAAAGTCTGATGGCAGTGTTAAAAGATATAAAGCAAGATTAGTGGCTAAAGGTTATACACAAGAGAAGGGAATAGATTACTTTGAAACATTTTCTCTTGTTGCTAAAATAACCACTGTTAGACTTTTAATTGCAATAGCCTCCATTAAGAATTGGCATATTCATCAGCTTGAGGTAAACAATGCCTTCTTACATGGGGATTTAGAGGAAGAGGTATATATGAAACCTCCTCCTGGCTATTGTAAGAAAAATGATACAAGGATTTGTAAATTGGTCAAGAGTCTTTATGGTCTTAAGCAAGCATCTAGGCAATGGTTTTCAAAACTGACTTCATGTCTCCTTGACAATGGCTTTGTACAGTCCATTTCTGATACTTCTTTGTTCACTATGTAAACTAACTGCTCTTTTACAACCTTATTAGTCTATGTTGATGACATCATAGTGACATGAAATAACTTGCTGCATATTTTCATAGACATCATAGTGACATGAAATAACTTGTTGCGTATTTCAAACATTAAAACCCATCTTGATAGATGTTTCACCATTAAAGACTTAGGCACATTAAAGTATATTCTTGGTTTTGAATTTGCTCATTCAACTCAAGGAATAAACATGTGCCAAAGAAAGTATGTGTTAGATATATTAACGGACACAGGTTTCTTAGGTTGTAAGCCTGCCACAACTCCCATGGATCCCACTATCAAACTTTCTTCTTTTACTGAAAATGATCCATTGACAGAGCCTACAACTTATAGAAACTGATTGGTAGATTATTATATTTGACAATTTGAAGACCTGATATTGCCTATAGTGTCCAAACCCTTAGTCATTTTCTTTCAAAACCTACTGCTCAACACTTCAGTGCTGCTCATAGAATTTTGAGATATTTGAAAGCAACAGTTGGCAAGGGAATATTATTTTCCAGAACTTCTAACCTTCAATTGCAGGAATTTTCAGACAGTGATTGGGCCTCATGTATCAATACCAGAAAAAGCATAACAGGTTTTTCTGTATTTTTGGGTAATTCTCTTATATCATGGAAGTCTAAAAAGCAAGCTACCATAAGTAAATCATCTGCAGAGGCTGAAAATAGGGCCTTAGCCTCTACAGCTTGTGAAGTTCAATGGCTTTTATATTTACTTGCTTATCTGAAAATCCCACATACTGCACTTGTTTCTGTTTATTGTGATAATAAATCTGCCATTGCTATTGCAACTAATCCTGTGTTTCATGAGCGTACTAAGCATATACAGATTTATTGCCACTTAGTCAGGGAAAAAGTCTCTCAAGGATTGATCAAACTTCATCATGTGGACACCAAAGAACAAATCTCAGACATCTTGACAAAGGCTTTACCTGGTCCTGCTTTTCTTTATCTCATTTCCAAGCTT